ATGGCATAATCACACATTCTCGGATTTGAAGCCTTTTTATCCTTGTTATGCCCCCTAAAAGTAGCACCTGCTTATCTTGTGACAAAAATCATGCTTTGATGCCTATTATGGACCGATTAGGACTATTTTCAAGGTTCGAATACTAAGCGGAGAGTTTAGGAGCAACATCAAATGAAGAGCATAGTTTTATGGGATCTAAGTGAAATTTTCTCAAATTGATATAATTAAAAGTTTAAGGGGCATTTTGAAACTGGAGTCAAAATTAAAGGTCCGTTTATGAAATTTACTTGGAAAAATTATTTTGATCCAAAAGACAACTCAGTCTGTTATGCACTCTTATTTCATCTTTTTCTCCTATTTTATTAATGTTTGTGATTGGTCAGAATAATATACTAACATAAATAATGCTAAGTTGACGAAAATAAAGTAATTAAATTTTTAACGATGTAATTTGACCAAAAAAAATAAGTATATTAACATCGCATCATTTAATCTTACCAATTTTTTTCAGCATTGCTCATCCATATAAATAGACTAAAGAATAGAAAAATACCAATAAGTCTTACTTTTAACCACTAAAAATCATTAAGTCCTATCGTATTTTACTTAGTACAATGAAGTCCTATTTTTGATTATTATTCTCCGGGAGTTGTAAACTTCATTAATAATATGTTTTGTTCCAATTTTATCCTTTCTTTAAATACACCAATTACAGTTTTACTAATAATTTGTGTTAGTAGTGTCCCAAAGGAAATTAAATTATTTTCCCTAATTAGTGCATAACATTAGAAACAGATAATTAACAATAAATATTTCTAAAATTGATAAAGTAAACAAGTCTATTTATTTTTATATTTACTGGTGTTAAGCATATGAATTTCAACTCACCTCAGTAAACCTCAACCATAAAGAGATACATTACATAAATCAATGATGCAGAAATTAAAATATAAATGCAATCACTAAGCCATATTCATCAAATTACACTTTTTTTTGTCTTATTCAACATCTGAATTCCTAATTACTATTTTTAAGGTATATTAGAAAAAAAAAAAAATTCAAGTACTCGACGCTATAACAATATGTTGAATCTTGGAAATATACCATATGTCGTTTCTTTCTTCTATTAAACACAGCACAATTTGATCACCCGATACTCATCATCGAAATTCATCAAATGTGAAGATTGCATGGGACCTACCACGTTTAATTTTACATCACCCTAGTTATTAACGACTGTTAGAAGTTTATCAAAAAGTTGTTTCACTTGATACTTGAATTATATTATTTTTTTTACTTTACCCTAATACATTAGCAATTCTGTCTAAAAAAAATAGCGATCATTTTCTTAGGCAATGTGAAATAATTCAAAATAGTTAAGGAGACTTAATTTAAGGGATAAAGTGAAATAGAATCCATAATTTAGTTGGTCAAAGTGTAAATTGCTCATTTAAAACCTGAAATTATCATAGTTGTTAGGTTAGTGACGAGGTATTAGATTAGATAACATTTTCCTTCCATAACGAATTGCCTACCTGCCACGTTTCATCACCCCCTTCATAGAATAGGAATAGACCCAGTCCCCACCCAATCTTTTTCTCCCGGATTTCATTCATTACTGTGCCAAACGATAAATTTTCAGTATTGTATTTTTTTTTATTCAAAAAATTATGATTTGTTGAATGTGACAATTAATTAAAATAAATTAAGGTTAATTACACTAAAAGTCCCTGAAATATATAATTTATTTCATTTTGATTCCCAATATTTCCTTGATGGAATACATAAAAATATATTAAATACTTCAAAGGATATAATTGAAATATTAAGGACTAAAATGAGATAAACTCTATACTTTGAGGACCTCCAGTACAATTAACCTAAAAAATTAATAAAATATATTTTTTGGTATTCCATACCAATATACCTACCGTCATTACAAGTTTTATAATATTTTGAAAAAATTTTATTCACACCCCCTATAGTTAATCATATCTTTAAAGACACCCCCAGTAGATTCTAAACCTTCACTGTCACCCCTTCTTGTTTGTATTGTCTCTTCACTTACACCCTTGTACTTAACGGTCCATTTCTATACTACAAAAAGTGGATAACATGACTTAAATTTTTTATAAAATTACCCTTTTATGTATAAATGGACTATGCCATCATTTACACAACTTACAATTATGATTATTCTGTAGGATTAATGTTGAATTCATCATAATTTGTTAGACTATTTTAATTTACTGTACATCAACTTGAAGTCATTCATAATATATTGATCATCAAAATGTTATTAGCATTGCGTTACTTTACACCTGAGCTTTACAAAAATTATATCCCTGGGATCATAGTCAAACTACACAAAAAATTACACAAAAAAAGCATAGCCAACAATCAAGTCACTTTACACATGAGCTTTAACAAAATTATTTCCCTAGGATCATAGTCAAACTATGCAAAAATTACACAAAAATGCCCAATCAACAGTCAAAATACACAGTCGAGTCAGCAGCTTATGCTTCCCCACAGCCTTGGACAAGCCTAGTTTATTCCCTTCTAGTGGTTGCCTACAATTCAAGGAACATTACTTAGTACTTAATTACAATATAGTAAAAATTACAATAAACTAGAAATTATAATCATAATCACCATAATGTTATAGACTAAAAATTATATCTGCTCATCACAATTCTGAGTTATGGTCATTCCTTGAGTTGTTGATTGTTGAGCCACTTCACCACCAACTTGTCCTTTAACCTTCGAACCCTTGACGGGTGCCCGTTCACATGACTTTCTATTATGCCCAAACTCTTTGCATATGCTGCATTTCACACTTAGGCACCTTCTAGTAGCACTAGTCCCACCTGCAGGTTCATTTGCCTCCCTACACCTATTTATTTTGGGTCTACCTGGTAATCTCCTAAGAGGGGGAGGGGCTAAAGGATCACCAATAGTTGGTGGCCATTTCCTTTGGTCTTGAAGCGCGTGAATCATTTGTTCATGAGCCTTAAGAAAAACATCTGTCTTGAAGAAGTCATGACAGTATTCTTCAATACTCAACCTCTTGTAAACAATTGCCTGTTCTGCATGCCTACATGGTATACCTGAAATACTACAAGCCATGCAATCACATGTTCTTTGATCAAGTCTTACTACATATCTCACTCCAGTATCCATAATCTCATAGTTAAACCCACCAGCATGCAAGACAGAACATTTCCTTGATTTTCCAATGATTTTGTTAAGTTTTTTCCTTATGCTGTCTGTGATCAATCCTTCTCAAGTGCTGCCCCTATCATGTCTCTATTGAATCCTAATCATGAACTTAGTTCTTATCCCGTCTAGAAGTGTAAGTATTGATTTCAACCTTAGTGATCCTACCCAACTACTGAAAGATTATGTCATGTTATTAGTCACTTGGTCACTCTTAATCTGACAATCTAAAGCATGCCTTCAAATACCAAACCATACTCAAACAAAACAGTTTTAATATTGCATCTAATCTCGCCTTCAAACAATTAAAACCTCTTTCTTTGGAAAAAAAATATATAACTTAGAAAAAATATTAGATAGCTTTGGATCAACAAAACCACAAGTAAATCATAAACGGTTGGCATGACATGTAATGAAACTAGTATAAAAAATCACATGAGTGCAACAAAAAAGTTAACTGGTAGGAGTAAAAATAGGAATAAGATTCATTGCTCTTTTATTATTCTATAACCTGACAAAAGATAATGGAATAAGACTCCTAGCAAGCTAAAGAACCAAAATATTGGAACAGGATATAAATGATTATCACTAAACACCAATGGTCTAACATACCCATTTCTTGTAGGTTTCTATATCAAAAAGTCAAGGATTTCTGTACAAAAGAATAGGGGGTTTTGTACAACAAAAATTAGAGTAAATTTCAATGTTTTTTTGTACAAAAAATAGGGTAAAATTCACTTTTTTTTCGTACAAAAAATTTAGGGTTTGTTCATACCTATTGATCGATCGATGATGACTTGATCTTCCTGAAACACAAGTGAATCGAGCCTCTTATCATTCGATCATTTTCGACTCCAAGGATTCGAACGGTAATCAAGTAGAAGATTACATACTTTCAGAGAACAAGCAATCAAGCAATTGGATCTCCTCTTCGTCAATCCCCCCTCTCTCTCTCTGACTCTCACTCTCTCTCTGTGTGAACCAGAAGGCAAAAATCGAGTGGCTAAACTCACTCTAATTCTTGACCAAAAAAAAAAATTCACTCTAGTTGCTTTATTTTTATATGTCTAGTTAGTATATCAACTCAAGGTTAAACACAAGTTAGTTATATATGTATAATGTAATATATGATAAAAATATATATAGATACATATTATAGATATAAAATATTTCACGGGCATTTTAGTAAATTTATTATCTCTGTTAACGCCGTCAACCATAAACAACTGACAAGGGGTGGCAATAAAATTTCAAAATTTATAGGGGATATCTCTGAAGATATGATTACCTACAGGGGGTGTGAATAAAATTTTTCATAATTTTTTTAATACATTTTGAAATAACTTTGAATTGATCTTAAAATTATTAATTATCCCACAAAAATTATCACTTGATTGCGAACAAATTTAAAAACTTGTAGCTTAAATTTGAAGTTACAAAACTCGTACAATTTGGTAACCAAAGTCTTCTTCTCCGGTGCCTATCATTTTCTCCTCCCATTATGTTCCTGCCCAAAACCCAAGACCAAGATCAGTCCAGAGAACTTTCCAAGTTCTGCTGTGCTCCGCCGCCTCCGTTTATCCAATCCAAGTTCGACTCCGCCATTCTACGCCCGCAGTACTGCCTCGTTTAAAAACTCGAACCAGTCATCACCCAAAAAACCCACAAATTCAAACCCCAACAAAACCCAATTCATCTGAATTATTTTGGTTTCTCTCTCCACACCCACACCCATGTGTAAATCCAAGAAAATGAGCACTCAAGTTATCGAACCCAAAACCATGGCGTCTCAATCCCCAAAACCACTCTCATCAAACAGAATCTCCGAAACCTCTGGATCTCACTCATCTTCGGAGAAAATCTCCGAACCCTCTCGATCTCACGCATCTTCAAAGAAAATCTCCGGACCATCTCGTTCTCACCCATCTTCGTTCGAACCTTCAACGAGCGTAAACTACACGGCGACTGGTTCAAGCTACAATGTCCAAGACTCATGGATATCTTCTGTATCAAGCCGAACCTCCTTATCAAGCCTACGCGAAACCCTATCAGAAAACCCTCATATTTACGACTTCTCCGAGATCAGCTCAGCCACAAACAACTTCTTAGCCAAACGCTACTCTTCGTCCTCATCCTCTGCTTCATGGCGTTGTACGATTCGCGCGAATGATGTGATCGTTTTCCAGAGGAGTTTTCGCCGTCAAATTGAAGTATCAGAGCTCCGAGAACGGTTGTTATCA